GTAAGAGCTAGAAGGTTATTACGGAAAGCAGCATATTGATTGGCTATCGTGCGAACTTCCGTCGCGCGGCAAGTTTTACCGAGTCCTGTGTGCAGAAGCCATAAGGCGTTTTTTCGTTTCGTGACCATGATACTGTTTGGTGGTTGGTTTGGTCCACTTAACGCTCGCAACGCCTCGAGCAACAAAGATAGAATGACCCTCGCGGCGTTGCGAGCGTTAAGTGGACCAAACTAACCAACCAAACGCTACCGTGGTTACAAAACGAAAAAACGCCAAGCATTCTGTCCGCAAAGTGAAGCCGAAAGTTGGCAGTTCAAGACAGAGCGAGAAAGTTGGGCTGCGTTCCGTTTTACGCATATGCGCGCATTTATCTATAGTTCATGTTACATATATTGTAGGTAATGCGCGCATAATGCGTGAAACGGAACGCAACCTTGATTTGCCCCTAGTACTTTCTCATTCTATATTATTAACTGTCAAGAAGAAGAGTTCGTTTAACACTGCAAATATTTTAAAACATTAAATAAAGCAATATGATTGATCAATTCGTCGCTCTGAAGCACTTACAGCACTAAATAGAACTATTTACAGAACTAAACCTTATCCAAGAACTGCACCCGTCATAGCAACCTAACCTTTTTCATGTGACAATATCTCTCACTCTTTCTCATTATATGGTATACAGATATAGGGATTCTCAAAGCATATCCCCCCAACACCACTCCAAGTTAATATAAGAATAAAAATTAATAAGAATCAACTAAGTTGTTTGAAAGAACGATATCGTGATATAAAGCCCAGGAAGATTCCAAGGCACGTTCCAAAAATCTTAAGGTCCGAACTTGTTCGAACACGTCTGGTCGTAACGGTGGTTAGGCCGAGACTTTCATGTGACAGTAGAATGAAAACAGGATAAGAGCAATTGCTGTGATTATTTATACACAGCATAAAATATTATAAATATCAATTTTATATCAAGATAAATGAAATATACAGTTTTATTCTTTTAATTCTGCACTG